TTTGGCTATTTAGCCAACAGCCAATACCTGCTAGTTTTTAGCTTTCCCTTCCCTTACAAACACTGGAAACTATTAAAGATTCATGCTTAGGCTGAAGCTTGTGGTTTATCTTGCAGTTTAGCTAAGATCATTAGTAAATCACAGCGTGGTTTTTTGAATATTTTCTCTGACTAAATTTTTAATCAGGGCGTTTTCTTCATAATGTTGCTATGTTCTGCCTAGAAATACTTATGCAATAGGTAGAGAGAAATGATGTAATAAAATAAATAGATGAATTTACTTAAGGGGATATTAGTCACACATAAGCACAAAAGGGCCTACTGTGTTTGTGGTCCAGATAACCTGTTCCTGGTAGACAGTAGAGGTTTGCTCTTACAGTGGAAGTATGCCTAAAGATATTGGGAGGGTGTTTGACCATTGCTAATGCAAGACTGAAATAGCTATACTTTTCAAAAATATTGATTAGCTCTTAACAAATATTTAATGATACTTAACTCCTTCTCATTTCCCTTTCATTTTTAACAGATTACTAGAAGAGCTAGTGCAGAAGGAAAGAGAATTTCAAGCCCTCCTGCAACATGCTATAGAACAAAAAGAACAGGAGATCAAACATCTAAAGCTTAAGACTCAACCAATAGGTGCTTATTTAAACTCCTCAAAAGTAATTGCTCTTCACAGCACTTTCCAAACCAATATAGTCAAACCTTCCAATGTACCGCTTCCAATATACTGCTCCCCCCCCATTAGGATGATTTTTTCACCAGCTAAAAGTCCCTTTTAGTCAGTTAATGAATTCAAATAAAAATATGACCTACCTATTTAGAACATGAAAGGAGATATGACTAGCTAAGAGACATTGTCTCTGGCTTGTTTTTCAGATTTTTGTTCTTTTTAGTTAAAAGGGATGAATGAACCCCCAGTTAATTTTACTATCCTGCATGTATGCATTCATAAGGAGACTTCGGACAAAATCACATACACTTTTCACCCCTGTGTAAGGATTGCCCTCTGCGCATTTCCAGATGGTATTCTGCATGCCACCATCTGACTGCAGCTCATCATCTACTTGCAACTTGCTCTGTAAATTTTCCCTCTTCTCTCACCTCCAGAGGCAACATACCTCACGTTAATGTACATGATGGAGGCAGCCTGAAATGACTATGGTCTGTGTCAGATGCACCTCCAGTTGGTTCTGCAGGTTTTCTGAGGGATTACTCCTTCCACCCAGCCTCTGATTTGCTCTCTTACTCCTCACTCCTTTTTAGCTATAAGGGAAGGCCATTATGTTGCTTTTATAGACACTTTTTAAAAAATAGGTCTCAATGTATAGATTGCAAAGCCCTGAAATTGATTAACCAGTCCCTATCCTAATAGCAATAGCACTAACGATCGCACTTAGACCTATGTACCTCTTCACAGTGCTTTATAGCCTTCTTTAAGTGGTTTATAGAGTCAGCATATTGCCCCCAACAATCTGGGTCCTCATTTTACCGACCTCAGAAAGATGGAAGGTGGAGACAACCTTGATCCGGCAAGATTCGAACTGCCAAACAGCTGGTAGCTGGCAGTCAGCAGAAGTAGCCTGCAATACTGCATTCTAACCACTGAGCCACCACGGCTCTTTAATACATTCAATCTAATACATTCAATTGGAAGAATAAAGGAAAAGACTCAACCACATTTCATGTGGTTTTCAATTGGTCCACAGTGAAAAGAAAGAAATGATAATGCATCAATGGAGTAACCAGAGCACTGTATGTGTCAATTGGAAGAGGCTTCTCCCATAGTGAATCATGCTTGATAAGACTGGAATTTCAACCGAGGCTCAGAGAATGTTGTCTGTTAAAGCTGTCTAGACGACAGCAGAACAGACTTTTCCGGATGTCCAGGAAAGGATATATTGGGAAGTCAGCAAGATTGAGGGCAGCATCATTTCCTGTTGGTCTTAGGATAGGAAAGAAGCACAGCAAAGTAGCTGGGTGAATGTGTTTCCTACTCCTCTCAAGAAAAACAAGAATTAGGGTTTGTTTGTTTTTTTTATTATAAAGACGAGTACAAATTTCACTAGATACAATTAACTGCTGCTCAGTTTTTCAACAATGAATAGGGCTTGACCTTCTTCTCCTTCCTTCTCCCAACTTTCTGTTTTCAAAAAAGGAGTCAATCCTTTTCCTTAATTTAAAAGGAGATTAGGAGCCTGGTTTAGCTCAACAGACAGAAGCACTGTAATTTAACACCAGCTGTCTGCAATTAAAGTAAGATCGAATCTCGCTAGGCTCAAGGTTGACTCAGCCTTCCATCCTTTCTAAAGTAGGTAAATTGAGGACCCAGTTTGTGGGGGCAATAAGCTGACTTTGTATAAATATACAAAAGTATGAAGGCTATTGCTTAACGCACTGTAAGCCGCCCTGAGTCTCCGGAGAAGGGCGGCATATAAATCAAATTTTTTAAAAAAAGTCTTTTCAGTTTAAACTAAATATTTTTTTTAAATGAGCTTTTAAATGTTTATTGGGGTTTTGCTGGCTTGTTTTAGCCAGTCACAATGCCCAATAGATGAGAAAGCAGTTATTAATAAATAATTATATACTGTAGCCCAGGGCTATCCAACTTTGGCAACTTTAAGACCAGTGAATTCCCCAGCCAGCCATGCTAGGAATTGAAGTCCACAAGTCTTAAAGTTGCCAAGGTTTGACACAACCTCTGGTATTAACAAAAGACACATCACCAACCATCTTTCCCTGCATTTTTATTTTTATCTCTGCCTTTGAATGGCTACTGATACAAATGAAATACTGGATCTTTTTGATTTTGATCTGATTTAGCATGCAGTTCTTACAGCGTTATGAGAGAATTCCAAAAGAAAGCCAAGAGAGTTTAATTGAATTCAGTATAGATTTGTTTCTGTAATCCGCAAAAGTATGACTGAAATATTCACTGTATTTGTACAGATTAAAGATTTATTTAAACTGTTACAACATGCTGCTTTCAGAAGAAATTCCTTCTCTTGAAAACATGTTTTGGCTAATTAAGGTTAATTATAGTTAGAATCATCGTTAAAACCAACCCAGTACTGAAATTCATCATCCTTACCTCATGCTTCACTTATGCGTACAGGGCTAATTTTAAGGATATCGCTCTTTTATCATGTGGGGTTTTCCAAATGTGTTTTTATTATGACTCCCACCATGCCCAACCAGTTTGCACCATAATAACAATACTTGCTGAGCGTGATGGTAATTCTAGTTCAATTAATCCGGAACGCCTCAAAATGGAGTGTGTGATATACAATTTTTATGCGTTTGTCTGGAAAAAGGTTACTTATTTTTGGAATTGTGTATCATCTTATAACTAGACTAACTTTTGTCAAAATTTTTCTAGATATTCCTGGCTTGTCTGTCTCTCACTTTAGTACACAGGATAGAGGAATTGAGGATCCAGATCTTATTAATTGGCTGAGAGTTCATGGTGCTGACAAAGAAACTATAAACAGGGTAGGAAATACGTTTCTTGGGTCTTTTTTGTTATTGTTGTTCTTCAGTGCCTAAGTAGCACTGAACATTTAATTCTTTTGTTTGCAATTTTAGAAGAATAAAGATAACATTGCAAAAACAAAATAAATCAGGGAAAACCATATATATATAGAGAGAGATAGATAGATATAGATATAGATATAGATATATAGATATAGATATAGATATACAGATATATATAGATATATATATATAAAATGCTGCTCAGGATTGGATTTAGGGCTATTTTTATATGAAATTTTTGATCTTTTATGGGTGAACAGCTTGTACAAAATAAAATTACCTGCGTACCCCGAATGTCAGAAGTTATATTTTTCAAGTTAATATATGACAACATATTCTATGACAAGATAGTGAACGTTTTACAATATTGGGAGTGATTAATTCTAATTCATATTCTAAGATATTTAAAAATGGTGTGTAAAAGGCATCATGCTGGAAACTGGGAAGTAATGAGTTCTATCAAGTTTACCTTATGCAGGAAGGCTACCTCACAGGGTTGTTGTTGTGGGGAAAATAGGAGGAGGAAAGAGTATTAATTACATTCACCCCCTTGAACTATTTATAGAAATAATAAAGGTGGGATAAAAATCTAATAAATAAATAAATGAATAAATAAATAAATAAATAAATAACTATAAGATATTTAAGATAGATCTTTATGTTTGTATTTGTATAACTTGAAAGCAGTTGTCAAAAATACTTTGAAATAGACCCCAAGCATATTGGTCCCTTATTGGGGTCTTACAGACATACCCAAGAATCTGACAGATTGTAAAAAATTGGAACAAATTTTGAAACGTCTAAACATCGAGTATAATCTGACTATGGTAAACATAAAATACTTAATTTGCATTGGAACAAATACAATATAAATTAGCCACAAAACTAAATGAACCAAATGAAAACCAAACTCAATCACACACACGAATACATGTCTGTTTAGATTATATAATCTCATAAAGACCAGAAGTTTTCTAAAGGTTACAACTTTCTCTTAATAAGCTTCTAAAAGGAGTACTCGCATAGAATTCTTCATATAGAAATTCTTTGTAAGAACTAGTCCATTTTAAACAACTTTTTAAGCTTTAAGATGGCTACTGGCCATAATAATATTAATAAACTGGTTCATGTACTTTATTTTAGCTTGATTTCTCCTGCCAGCAAAACAAGTTTTAAAAATTAGGAAGAAATTCCTATTTATTGTTGGTGCCAAATTAGCTGTAATCATAAATCAAAGTTTTCTCTTTCATTATGTGTGGGGTGTAATAATAATCAAGATGATAGCCATGGTTGTGTGATTGAAGCCCTGCCTTTTTTCATGTGAATCATATTACAATGCTTACAATGCTACAATTTTTTTTAAAAAAGGGGGAGGGCTCTTATCATGTGGTCATAAACATCTTTTACTCCCTCCCCCCATGCCGGGCACATGGCCCTGATTAAGTATGAAGTGTGGGTTTTGCTTACCCCTTTAACTGGAATTCTTTCAACGAGAAAACTTCAGTTAGACTAGTCAAGCTAGTGAAATCTTTTCAGAGTGTTTTCCTAATAAAAGTTAGAAAACAAGTTTTAAAAGTTAGAAAACAACAATAAAAAAGTAGTCAAAAACATTTTTCATAGAACATTTTAGATGTATTACTTTTACATTTTACATTTACATTTTACATCAGTAATCCCGGAAGTTCTAAATAGCATTATTTCATTCATTTAATATTTGATTATATTTCTTTGTAGTGGCTGACCTTGAGAATTCAGCTCATTTCAGTATCAATTAGTTTTTGTAACAATGATAAAATGTGATGTGCCATAAAATAAATGTATACTGTATTAAACATTTTGATACAATGCACATTTCAAGATAAATATATTTTTAATTAATCAGGCATATTATAAAAAACCAAGTGCACAAACAGAATAATAACTTACAGCTCCATCGGCATAACTTTTACTAATTCTTTATTTTTTTAGTTTCTAGCAGAAGAATACACATTGACGGATGTACTCTGCTATGTTACCAGGGATGATTTAAAATGCCTTAGACTCAGGTAAGTATTTTTTAAAAATAATTTATACTATGTGTGTAGATAATTATTTAATGAAAACTCTAAAGAGTAGTTCAAATATTGAATAAAAAATACTTTATTTTTATTTTTTACATTTATAATAAATTGTGCATATATTCTAAGAGATTTTTCCATAAAATTATTATAATGTAGAGAAAAAGCATTATACATATCAAGTATATAGCAATACAGTATGTGGAAACAGAAAAAAAACCTGATGAGTCCACTTTGCACACAGATGTAGCTGAGCATATGTTAGTTTTGTAATCTAAAAAATGTTACTTTGTGCATAAGGTGACATAGTTTCGATTAGACAGGCCCAATCACAAGCATTCTGGCTTCTAAGTTCTTCAAATATTTATTGGAGTTACATTTAATGTTCTACAAATCAGCCTTTGCTTGAAGAACAGATTTTTTTTTCTGTTCCCAAATCCACCCCCAGTAGATCAGTTCTAAGACGTCACCACACCTTCCAATTGAAAACTGAATACGAACAAGAGCAATATGACAAATACCGTTTAGCCAAGACCCCTTCATAACTTTGATAATTGAAATAAACTTTAGGAATGCTGATGAACAATTAATACTGTGTTTCCCCTAAAATAAGACCCTGTTTTATATTTTTTGAACCCTGAAATAAGCGATTGGGTTTATTGCCATGCGCTCAAAAGCCCAATTCGGCTTATTATCAAGGGATGTCTTATTTTGGGGGAAACAGGGTGAGGCTAGGGAACATTGAATAAATAAGAAGCATTCACGTTGGTATTTACAATAGCTTTTTTTGCAACAGTGCAACTGCTAAATTATTTATGCAAATCATCATAGTACATCCATTCTCATTTGTTGCTTTTAACTAAATAAAAATGACCACAATCTCTGACTTCCTTCCCCCTTCCCATATCTTTTCTGTCTTCTTGAATATATTCCTTAGCCTAAGGCAGCTTATAAAAAGCTTGCCTTGGTGAAATGGTATATTTGATTTTTTTAAATATATGAAAATAACTGCTGGGTTCAGTTAATTACAAGTTCAGCATTGCTGAAATGGTAATAGGCCAGTCTGTTCCCCAGAATTAAAGCCACTGGATACTGAGTGTTAGAAAAGATTGGAAAGGTAATGAAATGTATTTTTAAAGCACCGACTTTAAGCTAAAATACAAGTTTTAACATTGTGAGAGAAAAAAAGACACTGGGATATTTCTACCAAGCTTAATTCGAGCTTTCTGAGAGGATTACAGAGGTTTTTTGAAATAGAATGAAAGAATATATTAATAAGGACAGCAGCATATAAAAATCTGTTACCATATGCAGACATGAAATTTTTTAAAAAAATATAAAATGTATGTGTGAATTGAAGCAGCCTGGTGCAGAAAAGTCATTAATACCAGAAACAGAATGCCATGACTGAGAAAGTCCTCCCCCCCACTTTCCCGCCATAATTCACTTGTACGTTAGTAGGAACTAAAATTAGTGACTGCATAATTTAATTACTGGATTAACCCATTTTCTGAATCTGCAGATTAGGTTGAATCATAAACAGTCAAATGAGCTGGGTTCATACATGATCAGCCACCAAAACACTAGCCAAGGTTAAAAATGAGCAAGTCCAATATGCTGTATAAATATAGCTGTTAAAATTCACTTATCTGGTTATGCATATTTATTTTTTACTGTAGCCGGTGTTTTATGATTCTTGATACTGACTAAAAACTGCTATGACTTTATTTTTATTTTGTTTACAGAGGTGGGATTATATGCACGCTGTGGAAGGCAATCTCTGATTTTCGAGAGAAGCACACTTGTCCCTGAGCACAGGCATTCTTCCATCTCAACACAAAACAGGATCTTTCCTGCAGGATTTTTTTCCCCAAGAGAAGCTGTTGCACTTTAATCCAGTATTTGTTTACTGTTGCTAAAGAACACTGCAGCTTTCTGGCTGCAACTATTCCTATTCTTCTTTAAAAAATGGTCTCCAACATTAAATATTATTTTATCTTATATATTTTCAGGAATCTTCTCCTTTTCTAACATAATATTTAACAAAATTAGTCCTATCCAGACTACTAGCCACATTCACATAACATGGTTGACCAAGGGAATCCTGAGGTACTTAACTGAAACCCCTACACCAGTTGTGCATGATCACCAGCGACCTAGTGTAGAGCTTCAGTCACTGCATAGAGCAGGGGTGTCAAACTCACGGCCTCACGGCGTCATCACATGACAATCGGGACTTTTTCCCCCTTCGCTAAACTGGGCGTGGGTATGGCCAGCGCATGACGCATCCAGCCCAGGGGCTGGGAGTTTGACAGCCCTGGCATAGAGGGTCACCGAGGTAACATGCCCTGCTTGCTTCCTCCTCATGAAAATCAAAATGTAAAAAATTAGCAAGGTGAGAGGTGAAAAGGAAAATGACAGAGTGACTAAAAAAGCTCTGATTTTGCAAGGCCTTTCTACGATTTTATCTCTGTATCAAAAATAGGGAAAGAGAGTTAGTGCTCTATTAATCTTTATCAAATCCATTTCCTTATCTGCCTACAATTGACTAGAACTTTAGCCCCCCTACAATTCCCAAGAGTTAGTTGATTAGATTACAGTATTCACATAATACTTCAGTCTCCCTTCACAATCAGTTAAACATATTCTGTATACAGGACTTTTGTAAGGTTGTATACAACTCTGTATTACTAAAACAAAATCGAATGTGAAAATTAACTTTACAGGTTAATGTTTATAACCAGGGCCTGTGTTAGGCATGGTGTTTCTGGGGACCTTAGCTTAGTTGGAATAAGAGACATTTGTTCATTTGTGAGAGGTTTTGGATGCAATCCAAAGCATTCTTGAAGTGAAAGGTTCATGGTATTGCAGACAAAGACCCATGAGTATTGCCTTTTGAGGACTACATGTTTTGCTTAAGATCCTTGGATGTTTTTCTAAACTGAGATGGAAATCATAAGTGAAATGATAATGTAGAACATATTTGATAGTTTTTCCTTGTAGTATGCTGACCTTTACACCACTTGGTACTTAACAATTCTTTCTTAAATGTCACATTGTTTTATTTTTAGTAACTTAAATCCCAGTCTACGGTGTATTTGTGTCTTTTTTAGTGTTGTTTATGTATTATTGAACTGTACCAGTTACATATGCCTGAATTACATATAGTACTGTTAGCTTGTTTTAAAGCTATCCATTGTGATACACATTTAAGAAATAAAGAATTATACAAAATGTGGGCATATTTCTTGATTATTTTAAAACCAAATTAACAGTTTTAAAAACGAAGGAAATTAAGATGATGGTAAAATGAATGAAAATAGAAAGAATTACTATCTGGAGTTGCTGTAGTATACAATTACACAGCGATTATCAGGGATTGTATATAATACTCAAAACGGTTATTGATTGAAGAGTACAACTACAAAGGTTGCTGGTGAGTTAACACAGAAACATTATTATGATAAATATATATGGTGTGATAATATATTGATGGTGAATTTATTTATTTTTAATCTTTGCCCTGCTTCCTTTTTGGAGTGTACCCAAGTAATATGCCATTCAAGATCATATTCAATTCTGGGCCCTAACGATTGTATATACATGTTTGCACACCTGTGCAGCTGCAGTCTCCTCAGACTTTAGAGTTGTGTTTCTTTAACAGTGGTACAGGGTATCCATAAAGCCAGTGTTGGTGGTAGGATGAGATCTGGCCCCAAATCCTTACTTTATTTTTTCCTTAGGATTCTACTTTCGGTCTGCTCCCATTTAATGTCTACATGAAAACCACTGGGGAATATCTATCAGTTCAAGTGTAGATATCGTAAGCATTTCAATGATATTTACTTTACACGTAATACATTCTCCATTATGAGCTATGAAATGCCATCAAGGTGGTCTCCAGACTGGGATCTGGCTAGGAAAGAACAGATCGCCAAACAAGCAAAACAGTAGATGTAGGTTTTGAAGTCCTCTGGTTTTGCAGACTCTTCATGCCCTGCAAACACTCCCACAAATAAAACTGGTGTGTAAAATAAAAATACTAAGAGGCATACTAACATTTGTTGGATGAATTGATCCTAAAAAACGTTGGAAAAAATATTTAAATCGTAAAGAATCCTTTAAGCCCATAACAATGAACAGTTTAAGACTGCCTGATCCATTTTAATCTGATAAGGATTGAAAGAACAGGAAGTCTATTTAAAATGACTCCTAATCGAAGTGCACTTCCTGGTGAAAATACTGTGCCTTATCTCTTCGACGTTGTTTCAATATCATTTATGATGCTTTCCTTCGGTTGGAAGCTGTAGTTGATTAACTTGCTACCACAACCGCCCCTATGGAATAAACGTTTTACCATTATCAGCGCGCGTTTGACCTCCCTTGACTTTGACACCAATTCATTCAAAAGTTCACTGCTCATCGTGTCTATCGAGTATTTTTTTTGTAGATTTCGGCCAACGGATTTCCAGTTTAATTAGCAGCTGC